GCAACTTCCTGTGCATGTATCATTCGTCTCTTCTACTATTTGTTGCTCATGTTTTTGACGAAGAATCCTTGACGGAGGTCGAAACGAATAAAAAGGGGATCACAGCCATCGAATCTTCTCACTAACTGTCCGTACCCAACACTGAATACATGTTTGAACCCCATAAACGTTAAGTTACACCAGAACAAAATCTGTAGATTTTACTAATTATTTTACACTTGCCTTCACGCCCTTCAAATGGTATTCACCTCGACAAACCTTATTCCGACACAACTGAGAGGGAATGGGGGCCAATTATCCTTGCTAATAAAGCATATTTAAATTTGGACTTCGGTCTCCTAAATTTATATTCTGAAAAAAATGGTTAAAACAAAAGGTATTTTGAAATTTCAAAACAAGCCGATAAAATGCATGCACTGGTATAGGAAAACAAATGAAAACTTGCATCGTAATAGCTTTGTATTGCATTGTTAAAGGCCTCATCGCCGACTATATCCAGTTCGCCGCTGAGGAAAGATTGGAATCGAGCCTTGAGCGCAGCAAGCTGACTTTTGGAAATTTTCGTATACCTTCGAGTTGGTTCAGGGGGTGGTTTGGAATAGAATGGGTAGGCGATGCACCGAGCTACAAAAACATATCTAAAAAGCAAAAATACGCGCTAATTTGCACGTCTGACGAGCTAAAGGTTCTAACCTCATTCTTATTTCTATTTATTAGCCTCTTATAGAAAATTAGTCTTTTTTTATAGCGCCCAAGCTAAACAAGCTAAAGATTTTTCGTTTCGACCAAATGGGAAGATAGTCTTACCTCCACCGTATGCCAGTTTTGTTGACCAATCTTGAGCGTTCACTAATATCTAATGGGTTAATAACAATCGAATTGTTTATTAAGCTTTGTACAAATACCGCGTACTAAAAATTCTGTTTGTTCTCTTGGTTGTTTCCCGACACCTAAAAACTTAGCTTAAGTCTGTACTTACGAGCCCTAACATCACGCGACGAGATATGCCTGTAACCGGCGCGTCTTAGGCATCAGTGAGCTAACTCTCAAACGGGAAGATGATCGCATGCTTTATTCATATAAATATAAATTAGAGCAAAAATCCTGCCCAGTGAGACAGTCTAAGGTCACGAACAAAAAATCTTATTTCACTAACAACAGCAAAAAACTAACTTTATCATTTATTTTAAGTTGACAGACTTATCCAATTAAAAATACTGTTCTAAAATAACTACATTTTTTTCCCCATCTCAAGATTGCTGTGTACCGAACTTTTTATATTCTTTGAGTTCGGCGGTCTTTTGCACATTTATATTGATATAAAGTCTGTTGCACTACCAGAATACCCTGCCGGGCTCTCCCGTGAAGAAATTGGGAGACCTGCAAAGACCTCGTTTAGGACTGATCAGTCTAAGAAAGAGCTTGGACGCAGAAGCAACAATGTGTGAAGCCAAATAGATCACCGCTTCCAAAGTTAAAAGATCACTTCCACAACTCCAAACTGCAACGTTCTCGTTATGGTTACCAATTACTACGTCATTCGCAGGACACTCCTCTGGATGATCTTTTCAAGGTCCTGTACGTAGACAACAAATTTCTATAACATCGGAGAGCAGGTCTAGAATACAGCCCAGAGTGAATACATACTACCAACTATCCATGTAAATTTTTTCCACATAAATTTGTTTGTTCAGTCGATGATTTATTTTAATATGCGAAAATATTCGCGGTCCAGAGATAATTTTACCTTCATTT